TTCTTCTTCAGTCCTCCGAATTTGAAAGGAATGGGTGAAAGGAGTTATTATTATTTCACACTCACTACAAAGTGTCACAAAACCAGCTAAACGCGATGCATACTAATTGGGGAAGATGAAGTAGTGTGGCAGAGCTAATATCTAGATAAGAAAAAATTATTTAAAAAATATTTCCATTTAATCACATCATGCTTAAGAATCCTGGATCCAAAATATTTCCATTTGATCACACCGTGCTCAGAATCCTGGATCCAAAATATTTCCATTTGATCACATCGTGCTCAAGAAACCTGGAACCAAAATATTTCCATTTAATCACATCATGCTTAAGAATCCTGGATCCAATATATTTCCATTTGATCACACCGTGCTCAGAATCCTGGATCTATTTCCATTTGAATCCATGGATCCATCCAAAATATTTCCATTTCATCACACCGTGCTCAGTATCCTGGATCCAAAATATTTCCATTTGTCAAATCATGCTTAAGAAACCTGGATCCAAAATATTTCCATTTGATCACATCGTGCTCAAGAATCCTGGATCCAAAATATTTCCATTTGATCACATCGTGCTCAGAATCCTGGATCCAAAATATTTCCATTTGATCACATCGTGCTCAAGAATCCTGGATCCAATATATTTCCATTTGATCCATTTGATCATCCCAAATATTTCCATTTGATCACATCGTGCTCAAGAATCCTGGATCCAATATATTTCCATTTGATCACATCATGCTCGGAATCCTGGATCCAATATATTTCCATTTGATCACACCGTGCTCAGTATCCTGGATCCAAAATATTTCCATTTCATCACATCATATAATTTCAAAGTCTTTACAGCATATATTTCATCTTGGTTATTCAAAAACGCGTCTCATTCACTTGGTGCTTTTGCTGTTTTACAGGATATCCTCCATTATTATCATCATTATTATTTCAGGATTCTGAGCACGATCTGATCAAATGGAAATATTCTTTTTTAAAAATAATTTTTGTTATCTAGATATTAGATTTTAAGAATTATCGGTTTGCTTGAGTAAAATTAAAAAATTAAATTTAATTCTTGAAATTTTGTTTTGCTCCTCGATCCTCAGTTGAAAAAATATTAGATTCTAGTCTTTTATTTTCTTTTTAATCATTTCACCGCACGCAAGGCGATAAAGCTGCTAAGACATCAGGGGTTACAGGAAATGAAAGAGAATCAGAAGAGGAGGAGTGAGAAGAAAGGATCAGGATTCAGAAAGGCAGAGAATGGCGATTGGCGTTGCTTTTAAATTATTGAAGTTTGTAGTTGACAGGGAAGCAAGAAATCGGAAGGGAGTTCCACAGGTGAGAAGTACGAGAAAAGTAACTATAAGAATAGTATTGACGGTTACATCTAGCTAGTTCTACAATAACACGATGAGACCAATCAAGTAGCACGCTTCAATTCATGCAGTCGATACACCACGAAGGAAAGCTCACCAAAACAATTGTCATGAAAATATTTGTAGAAAAGACAGAGGAAAGCCATGTTAAGTCGGTGGGAAAGTGACTGAAGCCGAGATGCCAGGTCAGGACAGATTACATTACAGATCCTTATTTGGATTTTGTCAAGAATTTTCAGATTTGCAGCAGGAGCACTAGACCAAATGAAACAGCAATATTCAATGTACGGACGGATTGTAGATTTGTAAATGCGCAAGAAGGATTTTAACGAGAAGAATTACCTGACACAACATCAGCGAACCAACTTTCCTAGCAGTTGATCTAGCAATTGATCCAATATACTCACTCCACTTCATGTCAGTGGAAAACGTTAGTCCAAGAAACCGCAGACTGCTGCTCTCATGGAAGTTAGCATCAGCCATACTGATGACTAATAGAAAAGGTTCTTTATGGTGATCGTATGAAATCAGTTTTGTTTTGGAAGTGTTAAAATTTACAAGCCATTCCTTGCCCCTGACTGCATATCCAATTCGAGAGCAAGTTGCCAGTTTTACTTTATAAGACAAGAGTAAATGATTGTCATCTGCATAAATAAAGTACCTAGCGGAGAAGTGTCAATTCTAAATGTTAGATTCTAGTCGATTTGTAAATCAGATGTTTTATTAGTTAAACTTTAGCAAAATCATTTACTCTATTTACATTGTTCGGACTTTTGTCATCATCTTTTTTTGCCATATTCACAACGTTTCGACCGTTGTACGCTCCGGTCTTCTTCAGGTGATTGGAATTTCGCACCGAACCTTTTATTTCGTCCACCGGAGTAGATTGTTCTAGTTTCACGTACTATGCCTCTTCCGCATATCTCAGTATCATTTATTTCCCCTTTACTCAACCCTCCAAGTTTTTTTTCACCTCTGCTTTATCCAGGTATTGAACTCACAACCCTTTGGACACATGGCCTATTGGGTAATAGCGTTGGTTGAATCCAGTGACTTGACCCAAAGAGTTGTGAGTTCAATAGAGGTGAACAAAAACTTGGAGAATTGAGTTGAGTTAAAAGGGAAATAAATGATACTGAGATATCCGGAAGAGGCATGGCACGTGGAACTAGAACAATAAAGGGTTCCGTTCAAAGTCGTGAAACAGTTCGAACAATCAAATAGTGTAAATAATTACCTAAAGAAATATAGGCCTGAAGAAAGTTGTACAACGGTCGAAACGTCGTGAATATGGCAACAAAGATGAAGACAACAGTCCGAACAATGTAAATAGTGCAAATAATTATAATACCTCATCTCAGAAATTTAGACAGATATTTGACAGAATCAATTACAATTGCAGCACAGTTATCCATTATTTCTAGAAGTGATGCAAATAAATGTTGAAATATTAACAAAATAAGCAACATTTTTCGTTGCTAATTCTTTATTGATAGATTACCGCCCCCTGACGATAATAACAGGCGGTGCGGATTTGCAAAGACGTTTCTTTTGTCTTTCCCGTAGAATACACGGTATGTAAATACTTCAGATTGCGTTAACTGAAGATGGCGTTAAACTATCAATAACTTCAACGATGAAGTTCGTTTCTTTCAAAACTCTTCCGTAACACGTTTTATAAATACAATTTATTAATTGTTGTTTAAATTCCAGGTATTGTGTCTATTTTTCTTTTTCTTTTTTATTTTATTTTTCTTTTACTTTTATTTTTATTTTATTTTTGTTTTATTTTATTTTTTATTTTTTGACCCACGGGTCTGCAAAACATTGTTATATCAGGAGTCGTAAGATGATAATTCGTCAAACTTTGACCGTTGCCCCTGCATATATACGGCGTGTCAAAGGGACTGTTTTTCCCTTGACACCGTTATTATTTTAGCTACCTTCACTCCTCCGCAATAAAGAAATTCTGAATACATTTCGTAGAAGAATCTTTTCATCTAGAATCTCTCTTTCCTAATCTCAAGCGAATGGAGGTACGTGGGGCGTATTGGTTATCAGCGCAGAAAGTGCAAATTCCTCATTCTATCTGAGTCCGTTGCATTCACTTTCACACAGATACTCGAAGAAAGATATGAATTCACTTCTGCACTTTAGCTATGGATTAATAGCAAAGTAGACTGTGCTCTCTAACCTTTGTTAGCAACCATTGTGCATTCAAAGCCGGTTGGCTAGCAAGTCTATCCCATAAAAAAAAAATACTTGTTAGTTATAAAAAACCAAAGCGGCAAGGCATGACGTGGTGAGGCTGTAGTACATAATGGTGTCTACGGGATATATACCTATATATTCGTATACATGCAATCCTAAGAGATGTTCGCAGTTCAATTTGCCATAAACACTTACTATGAACACACATGTATGTGGACAAAGCCCTCACCTAAAAAACAAACAAACAAACAAAAAAAAGAAGTTCGAATGTGGCGTGCGAACTAGATGCAGTTGTATATTGCGCCGCTGATTGAGCTTGAGTAAATAAATGATGGAACGGGGATTAGGAGAAATACACGGGAGAGGAAGTTGTGGAGAGTCATGATTGCCTACGTATTGAGGAGACACGGCACATGAAGATGAAGGTATCACGATTAAACACTATTTTGAACCTGCCTGTTTCTGGTGTAACTTGTTTGTTTCCTGGATCTGGCGCAACTGATTTTATTTTCTGGTGTCTGCGCGCACGTTTGGCAATTTTCATAAAAACGAATAAAGACAAAGAGTATGGTGAAGTTTTCTTCTCTTTTGGAAAACAAAAAAAAATCAAATACAACAAAAAACAACAAAAACTGTGGAAATGCTTCGAAGTAAAATCCTTACGTATAACACAAGTGCACAAGCGCTATCTTTTTTTTTTCAAATGTTGTGAAATATTACATGAAGACCAAATACGATTCGACTTACCTTCAACAAATAGAAAGGAACGTCTTGAATAATATTTATTGCTTGATTCATAAACCAAATCTAACCATAATAAACGGTAAAATTATGGCGATTTGGTGGAGGTTATCTTGTGACAAGGTCCGTTCTCACGATAGGTCTATATGGTTTTGTGTTAAGATCGAAAGAAAATAAACAGAGCGTTAATATATATGAAATACAATTTTAATTATAACTCAATATATAGACATAGGGATAGAGTGATAAGTTGTAGGTTGAAGAGTTCAAATGTAAATGTCCTGAGTGCACACGAGATAGATAGATAGATAGATAGATATGAACAGAGATAGATAGATAGATAGATAGATAGATAGATAGATACGGACAGGGATAGATATGAACAGAGATAGATAGATAGATAGATAGATACGGACAGGGATAGATATGAACAGAGATAGATAGATAGATAGATAGATACGAACAGAGATAGATAGATAGATACAGAGATAGATATGAAGAGATAGATAGATAGATAGATAGATAGATAGATAGATAGATAGATAGAAATGAACAGAGATAGATAGATATGAACATAGATACGATAGGAGATAGATAGATAGATACGGACAGAGATAGATAGATATGAACAGAGATAGATAGATAGATAGATAGATAGATAGATAGATACGATCAAAGATAGATAGATAGATACGGACAGAGATAGATAGATATGAACAAAGATAGATAGATAGATAGATACGAACAGAGATAAATAGTTAATATGAACAAATAGATATATATGAACAGAGATAGATAGATAGATAGATATGAACAGAGATAGATAGATAGATAGATACGATCAGAGATAGATAGATAGAAAGATAGATAGATACGATCAGAGATAGATAGATACGATAAGAGATAGATAGATAGATTGATACGATCAGAGATAAATCGATAGATAGATAGATAGATAGATAGATAGATAGAAACGATCAGAGATAGATATGAACAAATAGGTATATATGAACAGAGATAGATAGATAGATAGATACGAACAGAGATAGGTAGGTAGATAGACAGATAGATAGATACGATCAGAGATAGATAGGTAGATAGATAGATAGATACGAACAGAGATAAATAGATAAATGTGAACAAATAGATATATATGAACATAGATAGATAGATAGATAGATAGATACGATCAGAGATAGATAGATAGATAAATACGGACAGAGATAGATATGAACAGAGATAGATAGATAGATAGATAGATACGATCAGAGATAGATAGGTAGATGGATAGATAGATAGATAGATACGAACAGAGATAAATATGAACAAATAGATATATATGAACACAGATAGATAGATAGATAGATAGATACGAACAGAGATAGATAGATACAGAGATAGATATGAACAGAGATAGATAGATAGTGTTGAAACTTGACTAATGCATGGAATAATAATGCAACACAAAATGTACTTAGAACAAAATGTATTGAAACAAGAAAGTGTACACAATATTTACATATAGTCTTTTGTATATAACTGGTAAGACCGTTCCTGGAGAATGTGTTGACTGAGTCGCAGTCGGGCAGAGTCTCTGGTTGAATCTCTTGATTCCTCCCTCTCTTCCCGGTACCAACCATATTTATATGGTCGGTACTCCATTATGCAAATTAGGTGGATCCTACCACAACAGATAGATAGATAGATAGATAGATAGATAGATAGATAGATACGGACAGAGATAGATAGATAGATAAATACGGACAGAGATAGATAGATATGAACAGAGATAGATAGATAGATAGATAGATACGATCAGAGATAGATAGATAGATAGATACGATCAGAGATAGATAGATAGATAGTTAGATAGATACGATCAGAGATAAATCGATAGATAGATAGATAGATATATACGATCATAGATAGATACATAGATAGATACGATCAGAGATAGATAGGTAGATAGATAGATACGATCAGAGATAGATAGATATGAACAAACAGATATATATGAACAGAGATAGATAGATATATATGAACAGAGATAGATAGATAGATAGATAAATACGGACAGAGATAGATAGATATGAACAGAGATAGATGGATAGATAGATAGATACGATCAGAGATAGATAGGTAGATGGATAGATAGATAGATAGATAGATAGATACGAACAGAGATAAATATGAACAAATAGATATATATGAACAGAGATAGATAGATAGATAGATAGATAGATAGATAAATACGGATAGAGATAGATAGATATGAACAGAGATAGATAGATAGATAGATAGATAGATACGATCAGAGATAGATAGATAGATACGATCAGAGATAAATAGATAGATAGAAAGATAGATAGACTGATAGATACGATCATAGATAGATAGATAGATAGATAGATAGACAAATACGGACAGAGATAGATAGATATGAACAGAGATAGATAGATAGATAGATAGATAGATAGATAGATAGATAGATAGATACGATCAGAGAGAGATAGGTAGATAGATAGATAGAAATGAACAAATAGATATATATGAACAGAGATAGATAGATATGAACATAGATAGATAGATAGATAGATAGATACGATCAGAGATATATAGGTAGATAGATAGATACGATCAGAGATAGATAGATAGATAGATAGATAGATAGATAGATAGATACGATTAGAGATAGATAGATAGATAGATAGATAGATACGGGCAGAGATAGATAGATAAATAGATAGATATGAACAAATAGATATATATGAACAGAGATAGATAGATATGAACAGAGATAGATAGATAGATAGACAGATAAGGACAGAGATAAATAGATAGATAGATACGAACAGAGATAGATAGAGAGACAGATAGATAGATAGATATGATCAGAGATAGATAGGTAGATAGATAGATAGATAGATACGATCAGAGATAGATAGATATATAGACAGATATGAACAAATAGATATATATGAACAGAGATAGATAGATAGATAGATAGATAGATATGAACAAATAGATATATATGAACAGAGATAGATAGATAGATAGATAGATACGATCATAGATATATAGATAGATAGATAGATATGAACAGAGATAAATAGATATCAACAGAGATAGATAGATAAATAAATACGAACAGAGATAGATAGATAGATAGATAGATACGAACTGAGATAGATATGAACATAGATAGATAGATAGATAGATAGATAGATAGATAGATAGATAGATACGAACAGAGATAGATATGAACAGAGATAGATAAATAGATAGATAGATACGAACAGAGATAGATAGATAGATAGATAGATAGATAGATAGATAGATAGATAGATACTAACAGAGATAGACACGTACAGGGATAGATACGTAGATTGATATTGTGTTTGTTCGGGAGAATGTAGGTATATACCGTATTTTTCTGCTTATAAGACGCATTCTCTTCCTATAAGTATCTCCCAAAACCTCCCTGCGTTCTATAAATCGAAGGTTGGTGACGGGACATAACTTCTCATCTAATTATTACATTCTAATTAATTACCATAAATTTATACTTTCTTCTCGGTCAGTGATAAATTTGTTATGTTTAGTCAGGTTTTCATGCTGAAAGATGCTATTCAGGGGTAAAATTGGGACTTGATGGGAAGGTTATGAAGCAGTAAGAAAACATTTTTTTTCGATTTCTCCCTTCAAAATTTCGGGTGCGTCCAATGCAGCGGTGCGTCTTATATGTTGCGAAATACGTTATGTATAAGTGTAGAAGTTGCCTGTGCAAATGAAGGAAGTGTAGACGTTTAGTGGCCAGTCGTAGAAGCAGGTAGGTAGTATATGAGTCTATGCGAGACTGTGTGAGTTGCGCGTGTATCGTATTCCGGCTCTGGGTAAGTTACGATATTCGCAGCATTTGACTTTTTATCTCGTTATTTACATATCTAGAGATCCGTTTCGAAACTAACCCCCTCAATTCTGATTATTGACCTTATATCTTGGTTGAGAACAGATCTTGTTTCTGATCCGCTACCTAAATTAATATGTTCGTATCCTGGTCGGGATGGTTTCTGATTCGTTGTTCGAAATATAACTTCATGGCCTAGCGATTTTGAACATACATCTATTTTTAGAAATGGTGAAATTTTGGTTTCCATGTTATTATTTGTTTATCTTTTATCACTACAAAATAACTATAAACTTTACCCTAGAATAACCATAATCTTTACCTTATAGGTACCTCCATGAGATCGCTAAAAAAAGAGCATAGCATGATGAAAAAGACGCCAAACTTGACGAAAACAAAATTTTATCGTCTAAATGCTTATGTTATTATTAAGAGAAAAGATCAAAGTTTATTTTAATTATTTAAAAAAAATTTTCCTTCTTTTTAGAACATTCTGAATTTTGATTAAAAAAACCTTGTTTGTCTTTGTATCACCGGAACTAGTAAAATAACATACGATTTTTAGCACTTTTTTTTTTTTTGTATGACACACATTAATTTGGAAAATCTTGTAAAATTAAAAATAATTGTCGAATGTTAATGAAACTTTCAGAAACTATTCACAGATGATCGAAATTATTACAAATATATATTTTTTTTTTTATCAAAGTCATAGCAGAAATATTTTTTTATATTTATTACCCCCCCCAACTAATTTTATGAAAACGCTAGAAATTCGATCGCGCCAGGTTTAGTGATTACAATAGTTAAAAGCACAAGGCTTTGAGGAATGCAAATTATGTATTTTTTCGTTTTTAATTGAACCCTCTACCTGAAAATCAGCTCTGAATTGTAACATACAAAACTCAATAAAATAAATATATTATTTAATTTCAAATGCTTTTATTTGCTTTTAGTTGTTTTTATGAATGTGGACAATATTTTCTGAAAACAAAAAAATTTGCGATGAAAAATGAATTTTTAATATAATTATTTTTTATTTCTTTAATTATAATAGATTTTTACATTTAAGTTGTTAAAATATTATAAAATTAGTTAAAAGCCGCATAGGGTTTCCTAAGTGTCCTTATGAGATAGACCTTTTTTTTAGCGCGTTGTAAATTGTATCATTTTGACTAATCAGAAGATCCGCAGTAATTAAGAAATGTAATTTTGTGTTTATAATCGGGCTGTAATTATAAAGTACGGAAGACCAACCAGAATACAATTAAGTTGCGTTATTTCAGTTAAGCATTGTTCTCCGCTGTTAAGGCCTTTACTTTTGCGAAACACGTGTGGAGAAGATAATTTGATTTTTCAATTTCAACTGAGAAAGGTACCTACAAGTATCAGTATCATCTTATGAAATTTATATGATCTTATTTTTATATTAATCTCAGTTATGACATTTTTCCATAAATGAAATATCAAAATTAATAATAAAATGAATGGAAATACAAATAACACAGTAAAATGTAATAAATGTACATAAAATTATAGTATTTTATGTACACTTTTGATAAAATTTCATAAGAAAGGTACTTATAAATTAATTTGATACCTTTCTTATGAAATATGAAATTTAATCTCACTCTTAACATTCTTATTTTAATTTCTTTATAATATATTTTCCATAAAGCATCGTAAACGTAAAGGTGAAAGCTAAGTACAAAAAAAAAATTAGAGCGCTGAAAGTTTTCCTTAAAAATAACGAGGTAAATAATTTGTTCACTTAAATGTAAATAATTTTACTTTTCTCCTTCCGTAGAACAAATTAGCCTCACGGAATGCGTCAATGTCATTCATCACCAGTCAGGTGACGCGAGTTTTTATGACCTGCTTTGTTTTATTTTAAAAATTACATCTTTTCGGCGCAGAAGCTAAGTTAACTTGATTCAAAATATTTTAAATAAATATTATAATTTCTGATTTTCTTAAAATAAGTTTTGAAAAAAATGATAATTGATATTTAAAAGAATTTCAGAGTGAGATTTTCATTTTTTTTATAAAATGGAAAAAAAAATGGTTGCCATCTGTCAATTTTGCTGTCTCAAAAACAAAAAACAAAAGATTTTTAACGAAAATTTTGGACGTGCTAGGAACGATTAAAAAATGTAAAAAAATTACCCCCAAAATACTTTGATCTTTCCCCTTAATAATAACATAAACATTTAGAAGATAACATTTTGTTTTCGTCAAGTTTGGCGTCTTTTTCATCATGCTATGCTCATTTTTTAGCGATCTACCTTAAAATATGCTTAAAATTAACACAAAACTAAAATTAACCATGAAATAATCTTAAAGTAAAAAATAAATTAACCCTAAAATTAACCGTAAGCTTAAATTAACACTAAAGTTTAGACAAAATAAACCTTAAATTAAACTCTAAACTAACCATAAATTTAATTCTGAACTAATCTTAAACTACATCCTAAAGTAATCTTTAAAATAATATTGATTCAAACTTTAAACATAATCCATAAATAATCCTAAATTTAACTGAAAACGTAAGCAAAAAATAGCCCTTAAAATAATCCTAAATTCAATCAAAGTTAATCCTAAAGTTAATCCTAAAGTTAATCCTAAAGTAAACCCCAAAGTAATCTTAACATCCAAATAAGTGTAAACTTAACTCAAAAAACTTAACTATAAAATAACACTAAAAATAAGCATAAACTAAATCCTAAATCTTGTGATATGGACACGGACATATTGATACGTCTTTTCTGTCTTTTCACACGATCAAAACAGAACAGTCCATTATTTATGAGGTGTGGGAAGGAAAACGTAAATACTTTTTTCATTCTTTCTTTTTTCTCTTTCATTGAAACAAAGTAGAATCTCTGATATGTCTTTTCTGTCTTTCCACACGATCAAAACGTTACAGTCCATTATTTATGAGTTATTGGCAGAGCGTAACGGTTGTGATAACTAAGGAAGTGACAAGAAGATTTATAACAGAATGCGTTTCGATTCT